ATAGAAAGAGATAGATAGATAGATAGATAGATAGATAGATAGATAGATAGATAGATAGATAATATATCTATGGTAACATATTGGTTAGTGTCTTTAGTTGCCAATTTGATCTGCTGTTTTGACATGTATTTTTTTCTTTTAATGATTGTTTCTAATTTGTTTGTATACCACCCAGAGACGCTGCATGTCGGGAGGCCATACAAGCTGAACAAATGAATGAATGAATTCATGATGAATAAGCAAAGAAATAAAACACAGAGAGGGTTACCTTGCAAGGCACTTCTCTTCTGCTGCGCAACGGAGGGAGTAGAGGTGAGCTCTCTGGACATATGTGGAAGCCTGGACATAGTTTGGATCAGGTATAAGGTCAGGGAGACCTGGTGGGGAAAGCAGGGAGATGTACTGGTCTATGACTGTAATAAAGATTGATTGATTGATTGATTGATTGACTGATTGAGCAGGGAGAAGACAGGGGGGTTCATATGCAGTCCAACAGGACTGGCTGGTCTGACTTTCTTTAAGTTCTCCAGAGCAGAAGACCCATTCCAAGGTTGTCCATCTTAGCTGCCAGTCTGAATCAGAACCCCCTTTTTGGAATGAACATATCAGAATCATATGTTTGCATATATTGGGCATTTCTTTAACTCTGATTGGAAGCCATTCTTGGCCTATCATGTTGTACATGGATTTGGGCCACATCTGAAATGTGGGTTTTCTTATCCATGGAATAATATCATAATTTGATCTAGGACTTTTAGTAATGTTCTAAAGGGTTGCCTATGGTTTATAGTTTGGTCAGTGATTCACACTGTGTTAGCCAAGGACACTCCGTTTAAGCCCAGGAACCATAACAATCTCTCTTACTTACAGTCTTTTCATTTATATGCTTTCAAAATATTACGTAAAAATTAATAAAAATATATTGGGCATTTCTTCTACGGCAGATTAAATGAGCATTTTCATTTACTTACTTGGTGTACCTAAGGTGATTTTTCTCCTGTCCTTCCTGATTGACTCTATAGCTCCCTTTTCCTAGTCAGTGTTTTTCTTAGATGTCAAAAGCATAGGATAAATTGAATTTAATTAAAAAAAACTACATACAGCTATTTTTTGCTTTGAACACTGTTTCAAAATTCCACTCTAGTGTCTACAGCAGTATTTCTCAACCATGGCAACTTTAAGACGTGGATCTCTAAATCTCCCACAACTACCAACA